TAAACTGTTAACTTCCCAGGAACAAGGACTAGGGTTTGGTGGGTTTTTTAAATCTCTGTGGCCTGGTTTAAAAAAAAAAGAAGATGGCATCCACTAAATGTTTGTTGAACTGAAATGATTCAAATAAGGAAACTTATGGGAAAGCATGATACAGACATTAACTCTATTATAAAATCAGCCAAATAGAGTAGTCCAAGTGGACATAGGACCAGAGATGTGACAACTAACAAAGAAATGAGTGTGGCCTTTTGAGTGTGACCAGCAACAACACAGTGTAACTTTGATGCATCAGCAAGTTCCAAGCCAGCTGTGCCTTAATGTGATAGTCATCACATCAGCTTTGTGAGTGGCTTCCTGAACATTATCCACATGTCACCCTTAACATTAAAAGGCAAAACAAAGTCAAGAACAAGTTGAGAAAATGAAACCATCTCCCTACCAACAAAACTATGTGGCTGCTGTTCAACTCTTTAGAGCTAGACAAGAGTAGGGTAAGATGACAAGTACTTTTAAAGTTCTAATGATATGAGGAGTTATCAAGGGACTTGGAACATATAAGTGGACATTGAAAACATAGTGGCAATAGTTTTGATAGCACAGCTCCCAGTGCATGGCAGAACTGTGGGTGACAGAGACATACTGGCGGCACACAAGCCAATGCCAACGTCCTCATCTGTGGCCATAACAGCTGGCAACCCATGGAGCAGAAGCAGCTAAAGGAAAGCAGCTTGGCAAACAGAAGTTGGTGCAAGTTCTTAACAGAGCTGCAGCACAGAACTGTTCAACAGGCCGTGAGAGCACATGCACTACATCCCAAATGAAAAAGCAAAACATTCAAAGTGGACATTGTTCAAAATATACAACAAAGTCAACTTGGGACAGGGCCAACTAGAAAAATTGGCATCCAAATAAAGTATTAAACTAATTACAGTGCTATGGCAAGCTGTTATGACTATAGCTTCCCAAGAAAAATGTGTAAGATTCCATATTTGTTTTGGTATTTTGTGTTGGGGAAAATTTTGCAAGGAGAGGAGAGTTGGGATGAAAAGGTGTTTCATTTAATGCTTAAAATGATATGTTTCTATCTTTTATCCCTTTTTTATCCTTTTTTTCTCTCTCTTTTTGAAAGGTAGCGAGAATCCAAACCAAACACTAAGTTAATTTAGGGCAAATTAAAAATTATCTCGGTAACTACTGTTTTTGAGTACAATATGCCAGGCACTGCACTAGGTACTTTACATGTATTATTGGTTACTCACATAATCCCTGTTAAAGAGAAAACATTGTCCCATTTACAGATTAGGAAACCGAGGCTCCGAGAGGTTAATGCATTCCAAGTCACATAGCTAATAAGTGATAGAGCCTATATTCAAATCCCCAGTTCTTTTCATTTACTATGAGAATCCAAAAGGAGTGAAATGAGAAGACAGGATGATGATGTAAACATTATAGGCAAGTGAGGTAATGTAAATGAGAACGATAAAAGAAGGTGAGAAGAGAATAGAGCAGAAAAGGGGAGAAAAGGAGACCAGGCATTGAGAGAGAGGGACTTCTTTAGAGTGAGTCTTTAAGAGTGGTAATATTTTCAGTAACTAATAATTCTATATCATCTTGTTTGACAGTCTTTTGAGTCCTATGGGACATCTTACAGGGCAAGCCCACTTCCTGCCTTATGTAGGGCACTATTTCAAAGCAGAGATTATACAAGAAATCTGCCATATAGCCTGACAGCTTCCAGGAACTGGAAGGAAGTCAAATTGGAATGATTTAAATGTAAATGTGTCCTTAATGTATGTGCTCTAAATTTACATTGGCTTTGCAGAAAAGACTACAAGGTTAAATCACTGAAAAACAGATGGAAGCTGTCATGAGGTGGTAAAACACAAGAAACTTGTCTAAATACAAGAAAAAGCAACAGTTTTCTCTTGTGGGTCAGTTTCATAGTACAAGTATTTGTCATTGAGTACACATAAGCTAGTATTCATCAAAATAGTAAAAGTTAAGTCTAATATTTATTGATCAGTTACTATGTACTAAGTGCTTACATGTGTTTAATGATCAAGAGGAGCCTGGGAGTTTGAAGCTATTGTAACTAAACACCCATTTTAAAAATGAGAAAACAGCCCCAGAAAGTTGAACAACCTTAGGTCACTTGGCTAATAAGTAGCAGAGCTGGATTTTAGCTCCCAGGCCTTTGATTATAACAGTACGCTATGCAGACATTCCCAATGGAATGGCTGTGAATGTGTAACCCCAGTAATTCCACATTTTTTATTATTCCAGAAAAAATAAAAAGGAAAAAAGGGAAGGAGGAAGGGAGGGAGGGAGGGAGGGAGGGAAGAAAAAAAGGAAAAGATAATTACCTTGAAACCAGTACCAGCTCCGGAAGAGAAAGAAGTATGGGTTGGACGATTGGAAGCAGCAGAGGTGGTCTAACCCTTTATGGTCAGAGACGAATCTGTAGCAAAGGATAGAAGGAGAAAAGATGAAGCAAAAAGAAATGCGAATATAAAATTAAAAAATGAAAAGTGCATGTGGAATGAAAAGGGAAGGAAGGAAGGTTTTGAAAATCATAGTTAAGATTTAAATTAAGTCATTTCTCCAATCTACCTTTCTGTTTTTAATTTCATGGGCTAAAATGACCCATTCAACTCAGCTTTTTGAATTAATACTGTTTGTTCTGACAGTTTCTCTCCATTCTGAGTAATGCTAAGCTTCACTCTGCAGTTAGTGTTTCAGTGAAAGATGGGTGTTTTGTTTGGGCATTTTTTTTCCTCTTAAAATTAATTAAGTCAACATTAACCAGGGCCATGTAACTGCAGAATGGGTAGTGTCTTGAAGGCTCATGGTTTGGATCTTTTCCTGCAAAAATTCCCCCTTTTATAGTTTAAACATTTAGAGTTCGAACTGCCTGAATGGCTGGCTTGCTGTGGGTACGGGTGTCAGGGCAATGCTGGGCAGGTTCCCAGCCAAATCTGCCTCATGGAAGCCCTGGGCCAAGAATACACTGTTCTCCTCAACAGCCTTGGGGTTCATCCCCTCTTGTTTTTCCTCCAGAAATGTCCCTGGGCTTAGTATTGCTGATCTGATGCCATGTGGTCCTGCAATCGTCAAAACTATTTACTTGATGTTAGAAGTGTTTTAAATATCCATATCGTTAACTTTGAAAATGACACAGTATGATCAATGTTTGTGGCATGGACCTATCCTGATGACTTTTTTATGTAGATGTGACTGAATATTACACACAAAAAGCATACTGCCCCTGCCCATAAGTCAGCTTCATCATGTCAGTGCAGCTGTTTTAACTTTTAAGAAACCACAAACATTTTATCCTCTAAAACCCTATTTGGAAAGACAGGACTTTTAAAGAAATACAATGTTTCTGAAACTGGTATAAATTAGCCTTCTTACTTCTGTTCTCTTTAGACTCTTAAGAGTTGAATAGAAGTCCTGAGTTGAGATACTACATGAGACTGAAATACATGTTATTGATGAATTCCAAGTAATCTTTGAAATGTTTAATGATAATAGAAGCTGTAGCATTAGTAGTAGAAACAAAACGTAACAGTAGCTCAAGTCTCATGATCTCTTTCCAAGCTCAATGAATTTTCCAGAGTCGCAGGGGCAGATGCCAGAAGGAAACAATTGTGTGTTTTCCTGGGTTAACTGTGGCCCAAAAGTCATGGTAAACATTGGGATTTTTTTGCTTCTTTTTTATGCTACAGCATTGATTCCACTTCCTGTTATATAGGAAAACCTATTCTGCTGTTAAAAGAGAATATTAGATATACTTATTACAACATTAAGACCATTTCATCCATGGAAATAATTTTTTATTGTTCTGAGTCACTCTGGGGTTGGTGGAATTTTTACATGAGTTCCAGGACAAGGATGAGATGTTGTATTTATTTTATTTTGTATCCTTATTAATTTTTTTTGACTGCATGAATATGAGGCTTGTTTCAAAGTATTTCCATATTTTTGCTACTTTAGAAATTACTCTGCTGTATTTGTGTCTCCTAAACTCTTCATTGACAACTCCCTGTGTGTACTGGGCATACTGTATTTTGGCAGAACTACCTGCTTTTCCCAGTGTCACGTGATGTCTTGCTTTTCTCTTAGTCCCTATTAATGCATCCCAAAGTGTATGTCTTTACCATGTTAAAGGTTATACAGACCTTCAGAAATACTGAAATTGTTTTTGTTGAACTGGAAGGATTTGAATTAAATAGTGAACTTCAAAAGGCATTTGTTATACCTTAATTCATTCCCTAATTTAGCCTGGAATATCTCTGTGTTTTAGACTGTACCCGAGAATCATTGAAAGTTCCTGAAATTCATTTTCAAGTATTCTTTGGTTTGACTGCAATTATTGTATTTGTTAATCACCTCTAGGGACCCACGTTAATTTAAATAACAGTTCAGATGTACAGAGAAGGGTTCAACATTCTGATGATTTGGAAAACATTTGAATAGAAAACAATGACTGTCCTATGAGCTAAGATTTCAAGTTACTGGTTATTGTCATTGATATTCCTTCCATATATTATGCTGTGTGTCTGCAGTTCTGATTGACTGACTGACTCAGTTTAAAATTAAATCTTGTACTTTCTGGCAGAAGAAGGAGGATTGTGTGTTCTGCATCCCACCTTTCCTGATCCATGTGCTATAACTAGTCACCCTTCCACAGTGCCCTAACTACTCAGCCCCTCACAGTGTTCTAAACTAGCCAGCCTTCCAATAGTCTCTGTTATTAATATTAAAGTTATAATATTAACTTGAGTGTAGACTAGATGGGAACAAAGTGGACAATTTCCAAAAGATTATCTCTTTTCTTGCATATGATCTTGGCAACCCCAAACTATACTACGTATGTTCATGTATTCACAAGGGTGTATGTATGTGTGTTTGCATGTGTGCACATGGGGGCATGGTTCAGTATTTGGAAGTTTCAGTAAATAATAGGATATTAATCTAAGTCATTTTATTTTCTATAGGTTGACATGATGAAAGAAGCATTAGAAAAACTTCAGCTCAATATAATAGAGATGAAAGATGAAAATGCAACCTTAGATGGTGGAGATGTCTTATTCACAGGTATCATTGTATTTACTTTTTACTATCCAAAAATATATATGATACTTGGCTTATGATTCACTTGTTTAATTGTAGCTTTTATCTAATTACCAAAGTAAAAATGCTATATTCATGGAATTTAGAAAAGAGAGAAAAGCACAAAAGAGAAAAAAATAAAAATGACCTTTCATCCAAAGATAATCACTTCAATATTTGGGTGTATGTTCTTCTACTACTTTTGTATGCATGGATCAGCATATTTTTTATAAGAGTGTTATCAGTATGTGCATGTCATTTTGTAGGTTGTGTCTCCCATGTTCTTCTATAGCATGAGTTTATGGGTTGCAAAGTTTGCATTGTGTGACAGTGTATCTGGTTTGTATTTAAAAGATTCTTAATTCAAGATGTGTCATTTACAAATAATTTTCCCAGGTGGCAAGATGAATTTAAATAATTTTCAATGCAAATTTATCTGGTCAATACCAGATGAATAATAGCAGAACCCAACAAAATATAAATAGCTGATATCATTGATCTAACAGGAATCAATTTTATAGTGAGTATAATATCACTACCAAAGAAACAGTAATTAATTTTAACATTCAACCTTTACAACTCTATGATCATATTATGATTGTTTTGTAAAGTCATGTGCTACAAACTGGATCCCTAGATTCATTCTAGTTATACTGATAAGTAAGACAATCAGTATTAATTTTTGATTTATAGTGGGCATTTATTTTCCCCTAAATGTCAGAAAATAAATACCAGTTTCACAGATGTAATCCTAACAGCAGAGGCTTGTCCCCAAGGATTTGGGATGTAGCCCCTAGTGGCCTGCTGAAAACATGGAGCTTCTTGAAAGTCTAATATTTTAGCTGATATGAACTTCATATTGAATCCCTTGTATATAGACAAAATATAGCCATCTTCATTTTAATATAAAAATAATGTTCTGTATTACCTACATGTTGATGTCTTTTATATTCCTGAAGGAAAAGGAATATTTATCCTGTGACATTTGAGTAATCCTTGCTTGTGCACATACCTACGTGTGTGTGGGGCCTCTGTGTTGCTGAGCTATATGGGTGCATTATCAAGTTTGTAGATAGGATCACCTGGAGTGGTGCAGTGCACAGCCTGTACTGCCACAATCAGAGGCAATGGCCCTGCCTCTGGGGTTTGGTTGAGCCATTTGAGCCATTGAGCCATGAGAACATAGAACAGGAGGTCAAGGAGGCCTACACTGCATTCTCAGCTCTAGTTGTATCCAAGCAGACTCAGGCATTCTTTGAATCTGCCTAGTAAGTTCCCCTTAGAATATTCTTTGTGTTTCCCATTGATGATACTTTCATTCTTTTTGGTAGCACAGAACAACAGCCTGTTTCTCTTAGAAAATAGGCTTTTGTGAAAAGCTGTATGTGTAAATCACACTTCCTGACAATAAATTTGTTTTTTTACCAGAACATAGACATATCATAAATAACTTGCTGCAAGCAGGTACTGGTAATATTTGAAGTATGGTTTAAAACAAGCTGTGTTCACAGCTATTTAGGTATCTTAACATCTGAGCTAAACAGATTCCCTAAAATCTCAGTGTTAATAGCACACCTTATACTGGGCACCTCTTTCTTTGGTTAAAGGTCTTTTCATAGCATCAAGTCTAATATTTTTGCCCCAACTTCTAATTAGGTGAGTATTGAGCCTTGCTTTTGACACTATCTGTAAACTTTTAAAAATAATACTCAATACTGAAGTCACTATATTAAAAATATTTTATTTAAACTGAAGTAGTGTGGGAATGTCAAGATCTTTATCCACTTGGCACCTTATTCATACCAAATGTCTGGTCCTGCCTCCTCTTTCCTATTCTCAATTTTTTTCCCTTTTGTTAAATTGTGGTAAAATACACATAACATAAAATTCACCATTTAACCATTTTTAAGTGTACAATTCAAGTAGCATTAATTATATTCACAATATTGTACAATCATCACCACTCAGTTTTGGGATTCAGCAGTGTTGGGTAAGAAACAAAATTTGTAGTGATTTCCATGTGCTGTGTTTTCTTCCTTACATAACTCAGGGCTTCATAAATAATTGATCACGAACAGTCAGAAGGGAAGCAGTTTTCCCATTCTACTTCCACTGGGAAATCTGTCAGTCCAACAAGCAGCCACTGGCAGAACTGTTTCAATTCTACTTCTCTTAAATAGATAACACAGACTCACCTCCACTTTAAAATTTTATTTTTGTAAAATATACAGCATATAAAAAAAAGAGTTTTACAGTGTTTATGTATAGTTTAAAGACCAATAATGAAATGAACACCTGGATACCTACCCCCAAGCTTAAGAAATAGGACGTTGCTAGGACCATAGAAGCCCTTGTCCCAACCACTTTCTCCTCCCACCCTGAGGTAACCACTCCCTGAATCTTATGTTAATTATTACCTTGGTTTTCTTGGAGTTTTTCAATATATGTGTTCCTAAATTATATGCTGTTTAGTTGTGATCATCTGATATAGCTTTATATGATTAGGGTCATATTATATGAACTCTCAGGTTGATTTTTCTGCTGTTGATCCAATGAGATGGGTGTAGCTGTAGTCATTCATTTTCACTGTTGTGTGGTATTCCATGTAAGAATACACCATGAGGGTTTTATTCATTTTGCCACTGATGTATATTTGAGTGCTTCCAGGTTTTTGTCTATTATCCTCAATGCTTATGTACATTCTTGTGTGTGTGTGTGTGTGTGTGTCTTGGGGATGTGAATAAGAGTTTTTCTACAGCTAGAAATGGAATTTTAGGTGATAAACTCATTTTTTGACTTTATGAAATGATTATATGATTTTCTTCCTTAATATATTGATGTGGTTAATTATATTAACTGATTTTCTGATATTTGACCTTCCATCCCTAAGATGAAATAAAATTTGGTCATGATATATTCTCTTTTTACTATAGTGTTGGATTTAGTTAGCTGATATTTTTCTTAAGACTTTTATTTCTGTGGCCTGTCAGTTTTCTTTCTTGTTATCCTTGTCTGGCTTTGGAAAAAGAGTTACATTAACCTCATAAAATATATTAGGGACTATTTCCTATGTTTCTATTCTCCAGAATCAGTGCTATTTATATCACTCATTCCTTGAACTTTTGTTAGAACTTATGTGTAAACAGGCCTTTTGAGCCTGGTGCTTTCTTTGGAGGGACATTTTAAACTGATTCCATTTCTTTAATGGTTAATATGACTATTGAAGTTTTTTCTGAGTCAGTTTTGGTGAATTCCTAAAATTTTATCTGTTTTATTTAAGTTTTGAAAATGTTGGGTATAAAATTATTCATATCTTCTTGATATCTGTTTTAAGCTTCACAGCAGCTATAGCATGCCCCTCTTCATTCATAACATTTATTTGTGCCTTCTCTTTTTTCTTGTCAGAGATCTGTCAATTTCATAAATCTCTTCAAAGAACCTAAAACAAGCTGTGTTCACAGCTATTTAGTTATCTTAACATCTGAGCTTTGGCTTTGTTGAACCCTTTCCCATACATGTTTCCTTTTCTCTTTCTGTTTCTATCTTTATTTCCTTCCTTCAGATTTCTTAGTTGTTAGTCTATGCTTTTCTTCTTACATTTCAAGTTGGAATTTTGTCTCTAATTTTGAACCTTTCTTCTTCTTAATGTAAGCATTTAAAGCTATATCTTTCCCTCCAAGTACTGCTTTAGCTGATCCTTCATGTTTTGATATGAATCATTAATTCTGAATGATTTATTACTGGTTCTAAATGTTTTCTGTCTTCCATTAGATTTATTCTTTGACTCATTAGTGCATAATGATGTTGTTTTAAAAACCCTTTGGTCATTGTCTTAAGCTGCTGAGACATCAACTCATTACTCTGGTAACTGACATGAGAAGGAAAGACTCAAGCATTTAGCCTGTCTTTCCTTTATGAATCCCATTTCAAGTAGACCAAATATTAGATTGAGGATAGTTTTTCTTTTTAGAATTCTAGCCAGTAAATGCAGATTCCTAATAAAATAAATAGATCTGTGCAATGATCATGGAAAGATGTTAAAATCTTAATATGAAAGCCTAATGGGGAACTTTATAATGGAGGATTCAAGATAATATCATCTGATCACTGTGATCACTCTAGTATCATGGAAATGTGAATCCAGTCACGTGCCTCATCATGTGATGTAATAGAGCACAGCCCCACCTCTGAAGTAGTCCTATCCAAAAAAAAATTGAACAAGAATCTAGTTAAGCCTCTACAAGAAATTACATTTACCAAAAATACAAAGGAAAAAGGAACAGTTTAACAGTTTAATGTTAGATGATGCACAAGGAAGCAACCAGCCAAATCTAGAATGTTGTATAGTCATTAGGATAAATGACCTGGTTTCCCCTACAGAAGAATGAAGTGATAAAGGAAAGGAAAAGAAAAAGAGGGTGAATTGGTACAGAAGAAAATGATAGGAGACATAACAACCAAACCCAATTTTTTAAATATTTTAATTCCAGCACATCAGTTATTTCCACAAAGAAGGCCAGTTAGGGAATACAGTCCACCATGCTATAAGAAACACAAGTGTAATGTTCCTTTTTAAAGAGATAAGCAATTTGCTTATCTCTTTAAATCTCCCCTTAGTCTTTTAAAATGGAAATAGTGTGCAAGCACCATTATAAATTTGTTTAAATTTGCTTACTGCAAAATGTTTTCCTTAAAATAGAAATTTTATGAGTAAATTATAGATATTTTTATCTTAAAATAACTAAGGAAAATTGATTCTTCTTAAATTCCAGCTGACCTTTTTAATACTTTTATAAAGTAAAAGATCTCTCCCGTACTTAAATTTTGATTGGTATGTGGCGAATTTCCTTTAGGGACTCACAATCATACCATTACCAAAAGCACTGTCAATGTGCCCTCAGAGAGTCCTGCGTCTGCCAATAGCATAAACCCTTTTGCAAATGTACATTCTTGTGTGTGTGTGTGTGTGTGTGTCTTGGGGATGTGAATAAGAGTTTTTCTACAGCTAGAAATGGAATTTTAGGTGATAAACTCATTTTTTGACTTTATGAAATGATTATATGATTTTCTTCCTTAATATATTGATGTGGTTAATTATATTAACTGATTTTCTGATATTTGACCTTCCATCCCTAAGATGAAATAAAATTTGGTCATGATATATTCTCTTTTTACTATAGTGTTGGATTTAGTTAGCTGATATTTTTCTTAAGACTTTTATTTCTGTGGCCTGTCAGTTTTCTTTCTTGTTATCCTTGTCTGGCTTTGGAAAAAGAGTTACATTAACCTCATAAAATATATTAGGGACTATTTCCTATGTTTCTATTCTCCAGAATCAGTGCTATTTATATCACTCATTCCTTGAACTTTTGTTAGAACTTATGTGTAAACAGGCCTTTTGAGCCTGGTGCTTTCTTTGGAGGGACATTTTAAACTGATTCCATTTCTTTAATGGTTAATATGACTATTGAAGTTTTTTCTGAGTCAGTTTTGGTGAATTCCTAAAATTTTATCTGTTTTATTTAAGTTTTGAAAATGTTGGGTATAAAATTATTCATATCTTCTTGATATCTGTTTTAAGCTTCACAGCAGCTATAGCATGCCCCTCTTCATTCATAACATTTATTTGTGCCTTCTCTTTTTTCTTGTCAGAGATCTGTCAATTTCATAAATCTCTTCAAAGAACCTAAAACAAGCTGTGTTCACAGCTATTTAGTTATCTTAACATCTGAGCTTTGGCTTTGTTGAACCCTTTCCCATACATGTTTCCTTTTCTCTTTCTGTTTCTATCTTTATTTCCTTCCTTCAGATTTCTTAGTTGTTAGTCTATGCTTTTCTTCTTACATTTCAAGTTGGAATTTTGTCTCTAATTTTGAACCTTTCTTCTTCTTAATGTAAGCATTTAAAGCTATATCTTTCCCTCCAAGTACTGCTTTAGCTGATCCTTCATGTTTTGATATGAATCATTAATTCTGAATGATTTATTACTGGTTCTAAATGTTTTCTGTCTTCCATTAGATTTATTCTTTGACTCATTAGTGCATAATGATGTTGTTTTAAAAACCCTTTGGTCATTGTCTTAAGCTGCTGAGACATCAACTCATTACTCTGGTAACTGACATGAGAAGGAAAGACTCAAGCATTTAGCCTGTCTTTCCTTTATGAATCCCATTTCAAGTAGACCAAATATTAGATTGAGGATAGTTTTTCTTTTTAGAATTCTAGCCAGTAAATGCAGATTCCTAATAAAATAAATAGATCTGTGCAATGATCATGGAAAGATGTTAAAATCTTAATATGAAAGCCTAATGGGGAACTTTATAATGGAGGATTCAAGATAATATCATCTGATCACTGTGATCACTCTAGTATCATGGAAATGTGAATCCAGTCACGTGCCTCATCATGTGATGTAATAGAGCACAGCCCCACCTCTGAAGTAGTCCTATCCAAAAAAAAATTGAACAAGAATCTAGTTAAGCCTCTACAAGAAATTACATTTACCAAAAATACAAAGGAAAAAGGAACAGTTTAACAGTTTAATGTTAGATGATGCACAAGGAAGCAACCAGCCAAATCTAGAATGTTGTATAGTCATTAGGATAAATGACCTGGTTTCCCCTACAGAAGAATGAAGTGATAAAGGAAAGGAAAAGAAAAAGAGGGTGAATTGGTACAGAAGAAAATGATAGGAGACATAACAACCAAACCCAATTTTTTAAATATTTTAATTCCAGCACATCAGTTATTTCCACAAAGAAGGCCAGTTAGGGAATACAGTCCACCATGCTATAAGAAACACAAGTGTAATGTTCCTTTTTAAAGAGATAAGCAATTTGCTTATCTCTTTAAATCTCCCCTTAGTCTTTTAAAATGGAAATAGTGTGCAAGCACCATTATAAATTTGTTTAAATTTGCTTACTGCAAAATGTTTTCCTTAAAATAGAAATTTTATGAGTAAATTATAGATATTTTTATCTTAAAATAACTAAGGAAAATTGATTCTTCTTAAATTCCAGCTGACCTTTTTAATACTTTTATAAAGTAAAAGATCTCTCCCGTACTTAAATTTTGATTGGTATGTGGCGAATTTCCTTTAGGGACTCACAATCATACCATTACCAAAAGCACTGTCAATGTGCCCTCAGAGAGTCCTGCGTCTGCCAATAGCATAAACCCTTTTGCAAGGACATATGAAGATTAAAGTTTTAACATTTGTAATGTCTATCAAGCAATTCTTTCTAAATGGCTGCTCATCTTATACTTTACCCTAATGGTCTGGGGCAAAAGTATACTGATTTCTTTTCAAAAATGTTTCCACATTTCATGTAGAGTTCTTTTCCAAAGAATTAAAGGAGGAAGAATTACCATGTTTATGTATTGCCTAACTATCTACTATAATTATTTGTTTGCCTATAATTAGGAAACCTTATTTAATGTTCTGCCTTTTGAGAACAAAAATTGTAGAGTTTCAGAAAAGACTAATGAGTGGAATATTCCATCCTCCTAAACTTTAGTACTTTGTAAATAAGCATCTTTGATGTTTTGATTTGAATGGAATGGATGTATAGTTATAAAAACATCTCTTAGAAGTCAGACCTGAAGACCAGTCAGCACTAAACTCACTTTAGGCAGATGGTTTCTTCAGTTTTTACATCATCATTCTATGAAATGGAATCTGACCTTATCAAGAATGTTTAATCTAGTATTGTTCTTTTAGGACACACACAAACACACAAAAAAGGAAGCACTGTGAACTTATTGGTATTACTTAATTTCTGATTTTAGATTATTGATGTACTTATCATTTTATTTATCATTGCCTAAATAAAAGCTTTATTCTCTTATTGTGGTAAAACACATATAACACTAAATTCATCATGTAACCATTTTTCAGTGTTCAATTGAGAGGCATTAACTATATCCATGTTGTGCAGCCATCACCACTATCCACTTTTAGCACCTTTCCTCTTCCCATGCTGAAACTTCACACCCAGTAAACATTGTACCGCTTCCCTCCAGCCCCGGAAAACCACCATTTTACTTTCTACTTCAATAAATTTGAAAAAGTTTATTTCTAAGGACAGTCGTTTGAAATCAGATTTGTACAAGAGGGAGCAGGCATCAGAGTACAAGTGGAGCTGCCCTCTGTGGTAGGAAAAGAACTCCATGATGCTTTCAGGTCGTTATTTATAGATAAAGAAATAGTGTGCTCTCACTGCTGCCACCCACTCACTGTGTTCCATACTGTTTCTTATAGGCAGAGAATTTTTTGTGGGCCTTTCCAAAAGGACAAATCAACGAGGTGCTGAAATCTTGGCTGACACTTTTAAGGTAGGTAAAAGATAAATAGTGCCTGATGCAGAGTAAATACTTAATATAGATTCATAGACCCACTGAATCAGTGTCACAAATAATGGTATTTATATGTTACCAGCTTTGCAAAATAGTTCCTAATATTTGTATGTTTACTAGAAGCTATCAAACTCAACTTTCCCCATAAACAGGCTCATCAGGCTACCACAGCCACAAAAGACAGTTATCATGGACATTATCTGTTTGCTCACGGTGTATATGATATAACCACCTGGCAGATGTTCTTGGCAAAATTGATGACCTAAAAAAAATCTGGATACCCAATTGAATCTAACATGAGATGTGGATTTTTTGGGGAATAAAGGATCCCCAATTTTGGGGTACCTACTAATGGCTGGAAACCATGCTAGGTATTGCACATACATCCTCTCAAAAGTCCCTTTACTCTATTGATCATTAATAGTCTGGATCATCAGATTGCTTAGGAAGGGATGTAGCCATAAGAAGCTCTGTTCCCCATTAGGACGTGAGGTTCTGTTTTGCACAGGATATTTAGAAGCATCCTTCCAGAGTAGCCCACCTGACAGGTAAACCAGCTAAGCTGCTGACACAGCCACATGTCTGGAAGGAGGCTCTGAGCTTTCTACTTAGAAGCTGTCTTCATTTAACTAGCAATGCCAAAACTGTGGGTCCCAGGGCTTCCAGATGCTCAGGGCCCCAGCAGACTCTGAGGGCAGATTTAAACCAGTTTTAGAATTATTCTTCAATGCCAAACTGCTTATTTCTATTATATGCATAGGACTATGCAGTCTCCACAGTCCCAGTGGCTGATGCTTTGCATTTGAAGAGTTTCTGCAGTATGGCTGGGCCTAACCTTATCGCAATCGGATCCAGTGAATCTGCGCAGAAAGCCCTCAAGGTCAGTACAAAGCCACACTACTTCTAAATGCAGCAGGCAATGCCTGCCACATGTTTTTTCTAATTCTGTCTACTGGGTGGGCAGCAAGCAGGCATGGCAGGGTGAGAAGAGCCTGTTACTTAAGTTTTCTCTGATGTACATTGTCTTGACTTCACATTCCTTAGGAGCCAGGAACACCTAAGTGTAGGAAGAACTCTTCACTGGTGAACCATTCTCACTCATACACCAGGTTTCCTAGAAAGGCCATGATTCAGAATAATAAACACCAGACTCATTGCAGTTATTTCCTCTGGAGAAAACAGGGCATATCACCAGTAGAGCTCCTTGTAATGTTTCCTCTTAAGTCAGGTGGTTGGTACACAAGGCGTCATTACATTTATTCTTATCCTTTTGTGTATCTTAACTATTTTGTAATGTTTTAAAAAGTCATGATTCAGAAATACCTAAAAATCCTAACTTCTTCATATGCATTTGGAATACTTAAAATTTTAGGACAAGAATTTTTCTCATTTTACAGATGAGAGTAGGAAATCCCAGAAAAATTATGAATTGCCCAGGTCACACAGCTAGATCAGGAGTATAAGCCACTGACAGACCTTCCAGTGTTACAGTACTTTGTAGTTCAAAGGCCCTTTCCTTCTCTCTAGTTAACAACCTTGTAAGATGATCTGGCAGAGACCATGTCTATCTGGCTGACCACTGAGCTCCTTTGTGCTTGACCCTCACTAAAATCTGGTGGATGGATGAATAAATGAATGAGAGAGGTGGTATGATCTCCATTTTGCAGATGAGAGCTAGATCAAGTGATCCAAACAAGGGCACAAGGCTAAAACTAAATGGTGGACTGGCTCTGCTGCCCCTTCCTGTTAGGTGGTCCTGCACAATCTGCCTGGCTTACTAAAGGACCAAAGACAGAAACTCCTCTTTGGCAAAGAGAGGAAACCTGTGTACCCCAAGGTGCACAGTTTATTGTTTTGCCCTTTCAGATCTTTACTCTTCTACCTCAGTGCTGGACGGGATGCCGTTTGTCTGGAAAGCAAGCATTGCCTCCCAGTTGCCTCCCCTCTGTATTATATGCAACTTCTTCAGCCAGCTCACCTGGTTTTACTGTCTTCGTTTTCTCAAACTGTATCTTTGCTTGTATTTCTAGGACTTTTAACAGTTGCTACTCAACAATCTGCCTCAGAATTTGAGCGTGGAGGCTTTTTCTGTGTTTTCTGTAGGGAATGTCTTTTGTTCTGCTTTATCTGGAAGGCTATGTCAACTTTCTGCACATAAAAAAGATGGTGTCTTAAAATAAAACATTTGATGAATGGTATCACTCAGAGGATCTGGGAAGATTATTTTTCTCCTTAGAGACTAACTGGTGTCTGTCGATGGCAGCAGGGTTGGTCTGCACATGTCTGAAATTGATTACAAGGGAAGCAGAGGGCTGAAGCTGGCTTACACTGTGCCTTTGTGTATATAGCAGAAAGACCCTCCTCTGGGTAGACTAGGTCCCTAATTCAAATAGCCTGGAGAAACTGACACTTAACAAACTAAGAGATAATACAATATGGTTAATTAGCACTTCTTTATATGAAATAGCCCTAACTGCTGTTCAGAGGAAAAGATGGTGATCCTTGAGGGATAGATATTCAGAGAAAGCTTCATGGAGAAAAATGGAGCTAGATGTGGGTCTGGCAAGGTGGGATTCAGTGACAGCATGTTCCAGATGGGAACATGGTATAAACAAAGACTGAGCAAAGCACATATATGAGATGTGAGCAAAATAGGCGAAATAACACAATATTTTCTTGTGGGATCCTGGAGATATAGTTAGATGTGGCAGGTGAAATCTGAAGAGGCAAGTGGGGACTTAAAAGTGAGGAAAGGAATGAATTTATCTCCATGAGCAGGGTTCTGGGCAGAAAGGTCATATCACTTCAGAGATGTTGGATTATCATTCCTTTTGCAAAAAAAATAAAAAATTAGATAGGAAGACCCTGCATTCAAAAAGGAGGACCGTTGATGAGCTGGAAAAAGAAAACCAAGTCCCACTCTGAACATGGTATTTTCCATCATCAAATGTGCTTCCTAAACCATGAGCCCATAGAGTTGGCAAAGGATGTGTTATGTTTCTAGCATTCAAAGGGCCCTGGTAATGAAAACAGAAAGACTGAACTGAAGAACAGTGAGCTCCACGAGGGCATGTTCTCAGGTTGAAACTAGGTGAGTTGATGAAATTCTGATTTAGTGAAAGGAACTGCCTATTTATGTGAGAACAGTTTTGGCGCCTATATTAGAAAAATAAATAAAATCGATAGTGGGGTAAGTCCTACTACTAATTTGGAGATGTAAATACTGACATAGATAGGTAGGAAGACAAATGGATAGAGACAAATACATCATCTCCAAGTAATGAAAGCATATTGGTTTTATTTTTTCCATTTATAAGTGGAAATACTGAAATCTGATTAAATAAAGTATGTTAAATAAGATCTCATAGTTTTGGAACCAGATTTCCTGGGCCCTGATTCCCCTCTCCCCAGTTGCCCATCCCACTCTATGCCCATTCTTTTTCTATTGGGAAAGCTTTCCTAGTTATTTTGCCCATGGATTTGTTCTGGCTGAGCTTCCTCTTTCCCCTCCCCTCTCTCCAACTATCCCCCTCTTCCCATTTTTTGCTGGTATCCAGGATCTGAACTGACTCAGGGAAGTTTAGTCCCAGATACGTGTTTTTCCCTTGCAAATCTTGGTATCTCAGTCTTGCCTCCTCTATAGAGAAGCCCCTGGCCACTGGAGCTTCTCTCTGGAGGGCATAGCATCTAAATTGGAGGTGAACTGTGCCTTCCTCTGCTGCACACTGAGAGCTTGATGACTTCCCCATCTGTGACTGCCTGTTTCTTTCAGAGCCTAAAACTGCTTCTTACTCAGGCAAAGCTGAGAGCCCAAGAGTACTGGATAGTCTTTTTGCCTTTGAAACAGTTCATAATAGGTTCTTATGGAGATAGACATCATACCTGTCTAGGTTGTAGTAGATGTAATAGTGTGTGCATTGTATATTTAAATGAAATCATCCATCTAGGAAGACATTAGCAACTCTGCTAAAAAGCCCAGAACACTAATACAGGATACATTTAATACACATTTAGCACAGAACATATTTAATATAGGGAAGGAAGAGAGGACCAATTCTTACTGCATTTTACCATGATATGGTCAGAGTTCTGGAGGTTAGGATGATTTGAACAAATTACTTAAGTTATTTAACATTAAGTCTTACCCTAGAAATACTATTATCTAAGCAAAATTAGTATTTAGAGCAACCTGCCCTTTCTGTAGTTTTTCTCCCTCACTTTCCATCATTCCCTCCATGCCCCTGGGGAACTACCACCTTCATTCTGCTCCCCTAGCTATAAAAGAAAATAGTGTAAGATTAATTAATTCATGCAGAAGCAGTAGACCTCTTAGTACTCCTGAAGAAAGAATGTTTCTCCCTCAAAGAAGTTGAGAACTCCAGTTGCTGCACAGCTGGAACTGCTGCTCACAAAGATAACTTGAGCAAAAGATGTCAATCTCCAAAAACATATTCTTTTATTTCATTCAGTGTTAAACGAGACAAAACTACACTGTTAAAAGTCAGAATAGTGGTTACTTTAAGAAGGGGAGGAGTCATGGTCCAGAGGGCCACTTTGCATGTTATACTTTAATTTTTAAAGTTTAGGAAAAAATGGCATGTATTGCTGGAGGTAGATGATGATTAACTTACAGAAATAATTCTCCAATAGGTAGGTCTAACTCTCAAAGTCCTGCTTTACCTTCTATATGATGCCTGTTTTTTCTACAGACTAAGCAGTTGTTTTAACTAAGAAAATAAAAAAACTGAAACTTTTTACTCTTTCATCAATATCTCCCCATACCCCCTCTTCACCCCCAGCCCTTGTACACCTTAAATATGTACATTTTTAATTGTCAGTTATACCTCAGTATAACTAGGGGAGGAAAAAGGCATGGTGAAAAGTAGTTTTACACTGCATCTCATCCATTCTTCTTCTAGATCCTTGCCAAAATTGACTTCCAGGAGCCTGGATTAATTAAATGCTTTCTATCACAGGAGGACAGATCGTAATTCCTGCCCTCTAGAGGGACTCACGGTATTGATTTTTAACTCAATCTCTTTAGTCTCTTTAGTGGCATTCATCCTTCAGTCAGCTGGGAAGGAGAGAAGGAAGACAAAGGGAGGGAGACAGGGAAGGAGGGGAGAAAGGGGAGAATAACATTTAGCTAAAACTTGCCTGAAACCGATCAGATGAGGAAGCTGCTGATCTCTCGAGCTGGGAACTCCAGGGGCTGTGGACTGGCAGGTAGCTGGGCTGTGCCATCTGCTGGCGGGGCAGCAAGAGGAGCATCCTCACCTTCCTAACACCTGCAGAAGACCAATTATTTTCTCTTTCTGGCATCCACAGTTTGTTTAATGGCCTTTCTTAATAATTATATTCTTTTGTATAACAATATTTTTTTAAACTTTTAGTGGAAGTACTAAAACGATGTGATAAGAATTATGAGGTCATCAATCCATTGTTTTGTGTCTTTGTGGTGTAAATGGAGATGGAGTATAGTAAGTGGAATTCCAGTAGATGTGTAATTTTAAATTAAAATGCTCATAATGCATCCTAATGGAAATGAATTTTAGGTTTCTTATCTACTTCCTGAAATAACTAACTGTACTTGTAAGATTCCTTGAATGAGAGCATGGGCACAGCAGCATGTTTTTCTTTTGAATAACTAACTATGTAATAGAAGTCACTCAGACTGTATTTCCTCTCATTTGACTCAGCTTCAGCATTGATTTTATGTCCAAAAATATCCATGTTATTTTATAGATGGTCATACGAAAAATGAAGGTGGAAAAACCCTTAAATGTTTTTGGATTTTGTTTGTTATTTTATTGCCTGGAATTTCCTTTAATACCAACTAGAACATCAATAGCAAAAACCAAAGGACAGAATGAAAGCTAA